AGTGTACTTCATAGATCTGCCTGTTCTGTTCCCCACTCTGTCTTTGGTGAAGCCTCTCACCGCCCCTGAGCCTCTGCCTCTGGCCTGTACCTCAGTTCTGTATGCACAGATGAATAAATCTTTAAAAAAAAAAAAAAAGATTGGTCCTTTGCAAACTATAGGGTGTTCTTTAAATAACAAACCACATTATATATTAACATTGGTTCTTATGGACCCTAATCTCTTTCTTACGAAGGGAGTAAACATTCATTTAGAATTACAGAGGCTCAGCACATGCTCAGCAAATGACTAAGAATGAAGAATTTGACTGCTTCATGTACATGGTACATACAGACTGTCAACACATCACATGTTAAACACACTCCAGTTAAGACTGGGCTTCTAATATCAGAAAATCAGTATCAGAGGGTTGACCACGTGCCAGGTGCACCAACTCATCTTGCTTTGTGGCAAGATACAATGTTGGATTGGCCACTGACTTGAAGTAGTTCTTTGTGCCGTGAGTTTCCCAGAAGAAAAGGAGGCTGGTCTCATCTGTCTGTCCTTTGATAATTTTGGGTCTCGCAGACATCTCCTGAGAGGAGAACATTGATCTGGTTAGATAACAAGAACATGCTAGAAAAAGAACTGAAGCTCCACCCTTTGGCATTTGACCCTTGTGAGGACATAACACTATCATGACCTTGTAATATGATGCTGTAAGTTCTTCATTCATTTGTTCATTCAGCAAGTATTTATTACATACCTATTGGATGTATGGCTCAGTCTTTTTGACTAAGTTGATTTCCTCACTTAACTGGAAAGAACTTGAAATTAGTCATGGAGATGGTCAAGGACACTAATGTCCTGCTGTTTCATGGCAGGCAGGGGTGAAACATTGTTCTTGTCTTGCCTTCAGCGCAGACCTAGGTCACTTTGCATCAAACCTGAGCCTAAGTAATTCTAAACCTCTAAACATTTTGCCCCCTGAGTATGCAAATCATGCTTTTTGGAAACTAATTCATCTCCACTTTTTTTTTTTAAAAATATTTATTTATTTATTTGTGCATACAGAACTGGGGTACAGGTCAGAGGCTCAGGAGTGGCGATAGGCTTCACCAGTTACAGAGTGGGGAACAGAACAGGCTGATAGACGAAGTACACTGCTGAGGGGAGCAGCGGGTGGGTCAGGAGAGGTCTGCCGCGCCATGTGGTCACCTCCGGGGCAGGCGAGGATTGAACTCATGCAGAAACGGCTTTAGATTCTCAGTGCAGTGCTTTAACCCGCTGCGCCACCAGGGAGGGCCCATCTCCACTTTTAAATCAACAGTTGAAGGCTTAAAAAAAATGTGTGTATGTGTGTGTATGTATACACCTCACTCAGAAGTTCTCAGGTGTTTAACAGCTGAATCCTTTCAATATAATTTTGACAGTTGTGATCTCTTTAGGCTATACCTTTCTTGTAACTATAATAGAATCTAGTGATAATTTCATGGGAAAAATAAATTCACCTTCCAACTTGAGGTGCTTTCCTCTACTCTTCCTTAATCTAAAGCAATGGATTATCCTTTTGAGGTTTTCTTGGGGTTGTGAAGCAAATACTTCATTTCTAAAGCTATTCTTACTTTCTTTTTTTTCTCCATTGCAGTAGATGGAGTTTCTTTCCTTCCTCCCATTGACTCTATTTCCAAAATACAACCAGATTCTTTCCATTACTCTCACCGCTTCCCATCCCATGACTATTGTTGGGTTCCATGCTTTCTCTGTGCTTTCCTTCTGAGCTAGTCTCCATTTTAGAAAATATAAGTGAAGTCAGAACACTTCCCTGTTTGAAACCTTTTCATGATTTTCAAATAAAAAACTAATGATTTAATTATCTCAAATGAAATTCAATGCAAGGTCCTCTTCTTCTTTTTCCTCCTCACAGTATTCCAGCACCTCTGATCTTTGGAGCTGGTCTTTAAATTCTTGAAGCTCCTGGGCTTATGCTGCCCCCTGCATGTCCTGCTATCTTTTTTTAGTTGGTCTCATCCCTAGGGAGCTCTGCTTTTGCCATTCTATCTAAATGGCACATTTCATTTTTCTCTATCTCCCCACTGTTCATTTTCTTTATAGCACTTTGCAATTTTTTGCTGGCTATTTGGCTTGTCTCTTGTCTGTGTCTGTTCTATAAAACCAGGCACGTTGACTCACTACTCCCATATAAATGTTAACATTGTGTTTGAAAAATAGAAGGCTCCCAGTGAATAACTTTTGTTGAATGAATTAATGAATGAAGCTACTGCCCTACTATGTTGACATCACTTTCATCTCACTTGATCCAGAGAAAAAAATACATGTGCACATATAAGTCCTAATTAGAGGCAGTGGGAGGATTGGATTACATATTTACTGAATAAGAATCACATCAATGGAGAAAATGAAGTCTAGAGTGAGAATGTGTGTTTATGTTTAGGTGAGGAGGGAGGGAAGTAGGGATGAGGGATAATGCTGGCCCCAGTGACGAGAGAGTCATCTGAACCAGAAGACCATGTTAGAGCCAGGGCTGCCAGCCTTTGGCTTTGTGATCCCACTCAGATCATTTGAATTTCTTGGAGAAAGTCCATCATCCTATGTATACTATCACACAGATCAGATAGACATCAGCAAAGATAAAAGATCAAAAGAATAAATGTAAATGCTATCTCCATTTTGTGCTCTCCCACAAATCCTGTTTAGATTTTTTTCTGGGGATAGGTGAGATATAGGATGGGGGGATAGGTGGGCAGGTGGGGATTGTGTGCCAAGAGGAGTTCTGTGCCACCCTGTGAAGTATCATTTACTTCCTGTTGGTTTCACTTACAAAGGTGTAGTTGTAAAGGAAGGTCAATTGGAGATGGATAGTAACTGACCTTCAGCAATATGGGTTGACCTTCACTTTGGGCACTCACAAACAGCTGAGTCTCTGAGATTCTTAGAGCCACAGGAAATTGAGAATCCTCTCTTGATATGTAAGCATCTATGTCAAATTTCACTGGCAAAAAGAAAAGCAAAAAGAGTAAATTCATTGTATTTGTAGAAAATCAAGTGTTTATGTTTCATGTGTATTGTTAAGTACATGTAAGTACTACCAATGGAATTGTATTTATCTGGGTATCTTCATAGTGATTGTCAGGTAATTGCTTGGGTGATGTCTTTAGAACTTTGTTGAATGTTGAGGTTCTTAGAGTCACAGGAAATTTAGACTCTTCTGATATATGTTTCAGACTGAGTATTTGTTGAATCCTCTGAATTATATTAATGGGATTAAAAACCTGCAGATTGTGAGGTTGTAGGTTCATAACCACCTGAAATGGGAGAGGTTTAGGAAAACTGATCCACTCATGTGTGGCTAGTGATAGTGATAAATTGTTTAGTTTTCCTAAGGGAACAATACTTAATAAGAGCTGTAAAAATATTAATGCATGGACATCCAGGTTTGGGATATGCTTTAAAGAAATAACCTTGAATTCTCTTTATGAAGATGACACTGGAGGTAAAGAAGAAAGCCCCTACCCATCCCAAAGATGAAGCCAAAGTAGAAGTTTTAAAAGTCAAGAAAGCAGACTAAAAGACATTTATAGCCACAAGAAAAAGATCTGTTACCCACTTTTTGGAGGCCCACCCAAGACACTGTGACTCCAAAAGCAGCCCAAATATCTTCAGAAGCGTGCTCCCAAAGGAAATAAGCTTGACTACTATTCCTTTAACTAGTTCCCTCTGACCCCTGAGTCAGTTAAGAAGACAGGAGACAGTGACACATTCATGTTCACTGTGGCTGTCAAGCCAACAAGCACCAACACCAGGCTATGAAGAAGCTCTGTGACATTGGCGTGGCCAAGGTCAACTCCCTGATCAGACCTGATGGAAAGAAGGCATACGTTTGCCTGGCTGCTGACTAGGGTGCCTTGGATATTGCCAACAAAATTGGGGTCATCTAAATTGAGTCCAGCTGACTAATTCGAAATGTAAAGTTTTCATCATTAGAAAAAAAAAACAAAAAACAAAACTCCACACACACAAAGATATATGCAATAGAGCTACGTAGAAAAACATGCATAGCAACATGATTGAATATTCTAGTGCCATTAAAAACTGCCCATATAGGCCTTCCCTGGGGGCGCAGCGGGTTAAAGCACAGCACTGAGAAGCTAAAGCCACTTCCGCATGAGTTCGATTCCCGCCTGCCCTGGAGGTGACCACA